AGGTGTATGGCAGTGGGAGGTGGATTTAGCGGATCTTCCATTGCCTGATGCGAGCCCAACTTATCAATATCAAGATTATATGACATAATGAACTCACCGATCACCGCTGCCTGTAATCTGTGAGACACCGCATCCTCCGTTGAGAAAAGGAAGATAGCGGTGAAGGGCTGCGCCGCCCTCAACAGCTGCGGGTATCCTAGCAGCAACGCGGTCATCGCACCCTTAACTCTTGTGGCCTGTAGTGCTTGTCGTATCATTCATGGGCTTCTTGGTTGCGCGCAAAACACTGTTTCGCTACTCTGGGGCTTGTGCGCCTGCTCCGCGCGTGACAATGCGACCTCACTGCTCATGAGAAGGGTATGGTATATGTCAGAAGAACATAACTTACGCAAGGACGTGTATGGCGTCGACGCGTTGCCCGTTGACTGACACCGCCGACATAGGCTGATGCAGCGCGGTGGCGACGTGGAACAAGGAGGGGTGTTCGGGCGCTTGTTACCATCGGCCGTGCCATCATTCGTTAATTTAGGGCAGACATTCCCGTACTTGAGCAAGTGAAGAGTATACCACCTTCGGACAGTACTTCAAGCTTCAAGTGTCATAATCATAATTTTGTATTACTATACTATTACACAGATGCCCTCAAAGTAAGAAACAATTTTCTTATCCCTGTCTTACTTGCTCCAGAGGCCCTCCTCTCCCATCCCTCGCCTTATATACCTTTCGACGGCCCTTATTTCGTCATTCTCCTTGATTGGGCCCAATCGTTGCTTCCGCTCTCCTTTGCTTACGCCGCGCGCAGCGCAGCTATGCTGCAGCCCTGAAATCGAAACAGCAAGTGAAATCGAAAATTTTGAGCTTAAATTTCCCGCCCGCAGAACCACATCCACGAGGACAGCAGTCGCGGAGCGCAGCGAAGCGGCCTCTTGTAAAATTTAGTTTCATTCACTAATGTTGTAAGCATATGTTTTACATACAAATCTAGTCTATGGCGCGAGAAATTAGCCAGAGTTAGGTGGTGCATATGAGCAGCTGCTAAGTGCTACCAGGCTCTCCTGAGCCTCGCGCATGCACTAAGCGGCAAGCGCAGACGTGGTGGCTGGTGGTAGTAGACGCCCCTGCTACGCAGCAAGATGCTGTTTCCTGATGTGATTTGGTTCACTTACCTCAACCTTTTCCATCACGAGCTCCTTGCGCTTAGCGACCTCCTCCTTGCTCCATCTCTCGTAGCTCCCCTCGTAGTCCTCCACCTCAGGAAGGTGGTGATAGTGTGCATGGCCGGTACGGTCTAAAAGAATTAGCACTAGAATCAACCGGAGACATCTATCCGACGGCAGCTTACCGTGTGCGTATGTTACTGATTGGGCAGCACTTTTGTATCCAGAGCAGCTGAACGGATCTGTGCACTTGACAAGTTTGAAATAGAGTACAGCCGTTCTGTTTTCCAAAAATTTAAACCCGAACATCGAATAGACATACATAGTATTCCTACACACGGGACAATATCGAGTACCAAACACCCAGTACACCATCTTCGTACCGGCCTTTCCACATTTCTGGATGTCCCTGTGAGTATGTCAACGGGAGAACAGAGAAAGACACACATAACAGTGGTTATCAAACGCTAAGTCCGCGTAGGCCGGCTCAGTCATCCATGCCAGACAGTCAGGCAGGCCTTCCACTTGTTGCAACGCTGTCTGCCAGAGGCGCATGACTGACCAATTGAGGAGAAACTTGTGGAAAGTCTTGTTCGTCCGTGCAAGATGCAGCAAGTCTATCAACATGAGGCATTGTATTATCTACATCAGGAAACACTGTTTGGCGCCGTAGTGGGGGCTTCACTCCGAAGTGTCCGAAGCTAGCGGCGCGCGGAGCTGCCCGCCGCGTAGCACAAGGAGTTGCAGTAGTGGCCTCGGAGTAGAGGCTCACCTTCTGTTTTCATTATAGCCACAATTACTCATTTTCTAGTAATATAATAATTCCTGTAACCAACTAGCTAGTACTACAGTCGTTCAGAAAGCCCGCACACAAGAATGAGACACTACTTTGCACGGGCGCTTGGAGCGATGCACGACTGTCCAAGTCTGTCAACGCCGGCCCTAAACTGATGGCGCTATCGGTTCGTTTGCCACGTTCTTCTCCCATCCTTAGCTCTGCCCTGCGATGACGAGCAGGTGATATGCTACGAGCAAAGTAAGTGTTCTGAGATTGAAGATGGGCTCCGTCACTAACTACTTTTGATGTGACGCACTGCGGCCATGCAGCTCTTCATTATTGCCGCAATGCGGTCGAGCGGTCGAGCAGTCACGGCAGAAGTGGGAGGCTGTGCAGCACTGGGGCAGGGGTGGAGGAAGAGTGGCAGATAGCAGGTAGGCAGGCATGCGAAATGGGTAGGTAGTCGTCCAGTGGAGGCAGCGGTGGAGGTGCCAGGCTGGCGGGCAGGTTGGCAGGCGCTAGTGTTGTGCTAGTTAATGACTAGTCAATGACTAGTTAAATAGTCACTGACTTTACTGAATGACTTAACTAATGACTGTAACTGGGCGGTTCTCGGGTCCTGATCTCGGAAAATGCCGCCGTCCAATCGGAGTGCGTGGATATCTGCCTGAGTGCAAGTGAGACGTCTGAGAGGCAATGTTGCAAAACTTTCGAGGTAGTGACTATTGTATATACAACCTAAGTACAAGCGCGAAGTTCCTCACAGTCCTCTTCCCCTTCTGCATCCAAATCAAACAACCCATGAACCTCCATCTCTTCTTCTAGCCCGCGCAACCCCAGCTTGTCCATAGTGTCAGTCCAATATGTGTTCCTAAAATCGAATAAATCATCAAGGCGGCAATGTAATGGCTGCCCATGACACTGAGACATGACAGTGGAGAGAAGTTCTGCCTGAATCGCAGATTCTGCAGCCCGCGCCATTGCAAGGGCAATATCCTGCATGAACGGCGCATTGGGTGCGCGCTCATTGGGCTGCGTCTCTGATGAAGCTTGCCCTGTTGAGCCAATCGGGCTGGCCTTGGGCTGGCCAGTCATGGGGACTGTGATGGGGCCAGGTGAGCTAGCACCAGGCTGAAATACTAAGCTCGGGCCAGACGCAGAGGCAGTGCCAGAGAACGCAGAACCCGCTGCTAACAATGTGACAGATGCAGCGATCGGTACATTTGCCAGGGGCACATGTACAGTTGGGGTAATAGTAGGTGGCGGTGCTGCTGCGCAGTCGATGAAGTGTCGCTCACGCCGCTGGAGGCACGTTGCCAAAGCGCCACCAGACTCATATTCTTGCATAATGTGCAGACTGAGCTCTGTGGAGTTCATGAGATTCGTACCGGTGAGACGTGAGCGGGAGAGGGTCATAATTCACTTCAACAGGCTGAAGAAGCATTTGACGGGGGCAATGTTAGGGCAAACAGAGAAAATGCGTTCGGCAAGCCGCTGCAGAGGAGAGACCGGGCCACTGGCTGTCATGAAGAGCTTCCAGACTTCAAGAGGTGCAGCGGAATGCTGATAATGCGTGATTAGCATTTGTCAGAATTGAGACAAGCACATTCACGTCCGGATCATCAGGGTTTCGGAGTGACGCAGCAAGGTTTGGCATGTCTGCGTAGGTGCCGGTGTCTGAGATGTACTCCTTCACCTCATTGTAGAACGCGGGCGGGACAGTATCTGATGAAAACAGACGCTTCCAAATGCGGGCGAGTAGCGTTATGACGTCTGCGTGCCGGAAGCTCTTAAGTGGCGCTGCTCGAGTATGTGGATTAAGAATGACCGCTGCTACAAGGACGCCTTGATCACTGTCCAGCCATCGCTTA